ATAAATTGATTGATTGAAGCCGTTGTTGTTTTCTGCAGTCTATGTATACCAAACTTATAACAGGTAATGTTGGCGATTAGAAAACTGATAAACATAAACCAACCTTTGAAAAGGTGATCCAATTAACCTTGGACCAATTAATATCTTACCTATATATTTAAAAATATTTTATTTATTTTTACTTAACATATGTAGATAATTATTCTCAATTATTATCTAATTATTATCACTAACATTCCGAAAACAATGTTATAGTAACATAGCACCTGATGGTGGAAACAAATGTTTTACCATTTTTAGAATTACTTTTAGAATGATGATTTGCACTTATATCCTTTTACAAACAATTGATATATTCATAATGGTGTAAAATAACAACAAGCTCATCGGATTTTTTTAATATTGATGTTCATTATTGGGTTACAGAAGGAGCTTTTAATGAAAATAATGCCGTTTATTAGATACCGGCATCGCGTATCGATTCATTGCATCCTTTTCGGATTTCTGCAATACATATTGTGCATTGTTAAATTATCGGAGGAGCTTTATACGAAAATACAGAGGATTTTAAGATGCAACAGTATTTTTAAAACTTATGGAACCGTTAACCTAATCGTGAATATTGTAATTTGTTAAAATAAATTGAAATATGATTGTGCTCAAATTCGGAAATATTTTCGGAAACTTTATTTGTACAACTGTGGCTGGTATCCCCTTACTTCCGAAAGCCAGCCAACATTTATTTAGAGGTTAAGTGATTGGCCAATAAAAGGCAGTATATGGTCAATAGAACAGATATATCTTTTAACTACGAAGTAGATTGACAAAATTCCAGATCAGCCATGAACTAAAGTCTATTTTTTTGGTTTATTATTCTCAATGATGAACCATTGGGATTGAACAAAAAATTCAAACACTTAACCCCCTCTCAAAATTTGAGGTTTTACGTTTCAGGATACGTAGAATTCGAAAAACGAATAAAAAATTGTCCATCCGCCGTCCGCCGTCCGCGCATTTTTTCCGAAACTACAGGACCGACTTTTTTCAAATTTGAATTTAAAATTAGACATGTAAACCTATGTCCTCTTGTCCTACAGTATCCTTTAATAATACCCCACTTATCCCTGTTGAACAAATTCGATACCTTGGACTCCACTTAGACAAACGTCTAACTTGAAATCCTCATACCAGACTGAAACGACAAGAAACAACTCGACGTTTTCGATTACTCCAGCACTTACTAGACAAACGCTCTAAGCTCCCAGTCAATTACAAAAGACCCATCCATATACATGACTACAATAAGATCTATTTGGACTTACGGAGTTGAGCTTTGGGGCTCCACTAAGCCATCGAATTCCTCTCGTATCCAATCCTTACAATCCAAAATCCTTCGTAAAATCCTCACAGCTCCTTACTTTGTCACAAACAAAATCATCCATAACGACCTTAATGTTCCTTATGTTTCTGACCTGGCCCAATCCAGATACTTTTCCTTCCATAATAAACTTCAGAACCATCCTAACCCTCTCGTTTCTAACCTTGCTTCCTTTTCGATACCTGACAACCCTCCGAGGCGTCTGAAAAGAACATGGCCTCGAGATCTCCTTTTGTAAATACATTTTTAGAGTGCTACCATTGGGTAGTTTCTCAACAAATGGTTTCATGCTATTATATTCTATTGTTCACATTTACTGAATGTATTTTTACTTGTAATACAGTTGTAAATATCATCAATAAATAGAAAAAAAAAAAAATAGACGTCATCCGAGGGTGATCCTCCTTCATCGACATTTCCATCCGCCTTTTACTTTCAAGATGAAGCAAAGATATGGTCTCTAGATGTTTGGAATAACCTTTTAATTCTTTTTCTTTGTCACTAGGAAGATAATGTAACTTTAGATGTATAATTGTTTGGAAATAATAAACCATTGTGAAATAATTTGCAGCGTTTTTTTTTTTTTTTTTTTAAATTCGCGCATTCGTTTGCCTCTAGAGTTCTCATATAGTAAAAACATATTAGAACAATTCTAGAAAAGGCCAAATGTCATGTATTTGATGTTGTTGATGTTAATATGGTACGAATCAGAGTTTCATCGAATGTAGTGCCGATTGTAAATAATTCAAATTATAGAAACCGTTAATAATGATAACAGTCACTTCGCTAACATAATATCCGCAATTCTTGAGATTCTAGGTTAAAACTTTGGCTCGATGGAGTCCAGAAACAAAAGTGATTTTTTTTTCCTAGAGGAGGTGTGGAGGAGTTGTCAGGATATGTGAAAACAATAGGAGTGAAGGAGAATCGCAAGTGTATCCGACGGAGGGAGATAAGGAGCCGTATCTTAGGAGGGTGGTGAAGACGGATTGTCAAGACGTCAGGAGAGTGGTATCTCGGATCAGTTGCCTATCTCTTCTGCCCAGCTCTGACGTATCACGTGTCTTCTCTAGCCCCCGCGCTATCTCTTCTTAGCGGCTTCTCCTCTTCTTGGGAATCGCCTCAGGACTCATAAATATTGAACAGAGTCTCCGCGAGCTCAGCTCCTTGTCGAATCCGCTCATCATTCTGCTATTGAGTTATTGCTCCTCCTCTGTATAACTCAAACAATGTAAATAAGTTAGTGGAAATCTTGAAAATTATTCGAAAAACTGATATCATGTAATTATTACGCGGAGAACAAAGTACATGTGTGTCCAATAAGCCTCTTAATCACATGGTTTAACAGATCAAAGAACTAAGGCGAACTAATCATGTCGATGATTCAGACGATTAACTAACAAGTTCGTCAAATCAGTTCAAACAGATAAAATATAAAGAGATCCCGTTACCATACAATGTAATTAGCAATCGCCTGTGTATTATACAAAGGAATACATATTCAAAGAAATCAACATAAGATAACACACATTAGAAACCAATCTATTCGAGATGCAATATACAAATTTTTAATTTGTTTTTTTCTAAAAAAAGATATTTGAACTCGAACAAATTGTTTTAATACTGCACAACGTTGGGCAGGTTAAGATCAGTCTCTTTAACATGGTTCCGACGAAATGTGTTCTTAATAGTTTAGCACATTCAAAATCATACTAAGTGACTTATTGCTAAACACCCACGATATGCTATCCTTCATATATTTGGGTGGATGCAGTAGAACTTTGAATCATCACTTACAACAATAGTTTAAGAGTTTTGAAGTATTAAAAAAAATAATGCATCACACAACTTTCACTTACCGCTCAACTTTGAATAGAAATTATTTTCTGGTCATGTTGGGTTATTATAAAATTTTTAAATTGTATTTCTAAACGAGATAAAGCTAAAATCTTACAGCTGACAATTCATAGATACCATTAAAATAACAAAAGTCTTATTTATTATATTACGGGTTGATAATGGATTGTAAGACTATTAGTTATTAGTTATTTTCCATGGCAAAGTTTACTAAAATGGAATTAAGAGATTTGTAATGTCTGTCATAGACAGGTCAAAAGTTGTCACACTAATTGTAAGTGGATACTGTTGGAATATCAAAAGCGGAAAATTCATCAAATTATTTACTAAAAAGTTACATGACGATTTTTCTGAATAAACGGACGTTGATAACAAATTAGTTAAATATAATATCAGATCTAGAATTATTAAACTACAGTAAATGTATTTAAGGTTATAAACATATGCTTTATACATCCATGAAATGATTTTATATTTCACTTCTTCTTTTACACAAGTACAATGAAATAATTTTTCCGGTTAGCCGATTTTAAGGAAAAAATTGCCAGAACATCTAAGGCATATACCTACCTATCTTAAATACGTAACATCAATTTCGTACGATTTTTCGTTTTTGAGCTAGACTGTTAAGATACTCATACACAGACACACAGACCATTTTGCGGGACTTGGTTATTTGGATCCAGGGTAAATCAAAACGTATATTTCGGTTGAAAACTCAGATTCGAAAATTTTCACGATCGCAGTACTTCTCCTTACTATATATTACATATATATGGAAGTGAAAGGAAAAATCAATAAAAATTAACACAAGATATTCACATTTCTGGCATATATTGTTTCAAAGCCAAAATTTTGTATGGAATAAGGAATAAAAATAAAAACCCATTAGTTATTGAACAAATTCTAATGAAGCCTCAGTATGTTATTTTTAATAATAATAGTTTTGTTTTTTATTGTCAATAAGGTACATTTTAATGGGTAGCAACGTTTTTTTTTTTCTGGTGTCGTGTAAGCCGGAATAAGACTTGATAAAATTTAGGCCGTATGTTGGCACATCCTTTGAATAATGAACAACAGTAACATTAGCATTTACTGCTCATCGGGGCCCGCATATCTTGGAGCTATAACGTGACAACCATTTAACCAGATGCAAATCCCTTCTTATTAACGATTGTTATAAGCAGTATATTAACTGGAATGCCGTTGAAAACATCTAAAAGTCGGTTGGAGACCATTGTTTCATGCTCAATTTCTCTGAACAATTTTCATACCTGTTAAGCTATAGATGCAAATCCTCGTCGATTTTATTCCGCTTCCATGAATAAGGGATTTATAAGGACTTTATCGTAGATACAATTTTAACTCGTCCAAACCTAGCATTTTTCGCTCATCTTATTAAAAAGGCGTTATATCTATTTTAAAATCATTTCATTAATGTGCTTTTAGTGGATAACAATAACTAAAACAACATGGCCAGTGTAATTTAAAATAAACATCACAAAGAACGGAACGTATAACGCAAAGCAAATTTTGATATACACCTGATTGATTCACACACATTATTAATTGGTACAGAGTAAATCGGAATGACATTCCGATTGAATTTATACGGTTGAGCTTGATGCACTAACGTATTTCCAAAGTTCACATTAGCTATGATAACCAACAATCAAAGAAAGTCTTTAAATAACATTACGTATATAATTTAAGTTATAGTAAGCTTGTGCCTGTGAAAATGCACTCTTAATTTTCTTTATTGGGACTAAACCTTCTGAATAGTAGGATCAGTCCACCTGAAGACCTTGCTTTGGATTGCTACAATTAGATGCTGGTATACTGTTAGTAATGGAGTTCCAGCTACAAGAAGAAGAGACTGCAATCTCGGGGCAGATAGAGCAGCCATAAATACGGTACATACAGAACCGCGCCCTGCCCCACAGCACACACCAGATCCTCCGATAGAGTGCGCACTGACAGCCTATCCGCATTAAATAATAACGCCGCTGGGACAATCCTCCGCGCCCGATTTGTACCTGTCCCGGGGTTATCGCATCTCTTCCGATCCTCGTGTCCTCTTGTTGTCGTCCAGGTAGTACCTCGGGTCGCCCTTCTTCTTCTGACCAGGTCCCACATCGGAGTATACCATCTGAGGGAAGAATATCAATCGATAAAGCAAATTCCATAGATGTTTTATTCCATTTGTTATGATTACTATACCTGTTTTAGAATCGATACTAATGTTACACAAAAATTCCTGAAGAATGTTTTACACGATCAAGTTTCTCGACCGATTCTTAGTCCTAGAAATTGTAGTTTAGTAGTTCGGATTTGAACCACTATGAGCGATAACCACAGACTTTACAGTTAAAATACTTTTCCGCCAAGTATGCCAGGAAAGTAGCCTAACTTTACAAAATTTACTTCGAGTTGGTTTTCAGTTTTGTTTGTTATTCCAGTTAAACAATTGAAAAAATGAAATACCATTTCTATTAATTCAGCTCTATGTATGGGATTTCCAAAAAATAATGAAAAATATTTAAACCTCAAGACTACAAAAAAGTTTATATAAGTAATGTAATATCGCAATGAGATAGTCTGTCAGATTTTCACTTGAATCCAATTTAAAACTATGTCATGGGTCCACCATTAAATTTTTACTACAAAAAATATTATTACGAAACGTAGTCAAACTGACAATAACACAATACACAAATGAGATTTGAGATTATTATCCTGTTTCTTGAATCCAAGTTCCAAAAACGTTCTAACATGTTAGATAAATTTGGTTCGGCGAACTAATGAAACCCTTTTGCACGGTAAAGTTTCTTAACCAAAGGAAGTTTATCGGAGAACTCATACAGTACATAACGCATTGCTAAAACGAAACAATTTTAAACGCTTATTGTACTGGCTGTCACAAGTAAGTACAAGAACCAGATAGATAAGGCAGTGAATTTATATAAATCTTTGACCTTTACATAAAAGACAATCATTAGCAGAGGTCCTCACCCTCCCAAGCACAAGCGGACCTATGGGGGAGGGAAGGAGGGCTTTCGGGATGAAGCCCCCCCCCCCCAAAAAAAAACGGTAAAATATAACCATCTTTTATAGAACAAAATATTAAAAACTATCTCTTAAAGTATTATTGTTGGTGTAATTACTTTTAATAGGACTTAAAGAATCACTTAAACACCATTTCATATATTTTTTATATATTTATTCCACCCTCCCATGCCACAATGGCAATACGGGTGTTTGCGATAGTGTGTTTTAGGCATGAATACTTAATAACACACTACTACTAGATGTGCACACAGTTCTTCTGTTCTATCTTCTTCCTTCTTCTTTCGGCCCAGGTTCCAGAATCTGGAGGTCTTCCTGGCGCTTGTCCTCTTCTTCAGCGGGCAACAATACCGAAGTGAGCGGGCCCCACCATCATCTTCCATCCGTATATGAAGTCCTTAAACCGCGGGAAATTTTCCTCGCTGACTAACTGAGGAAACTCATTTTCAGTGAGGACATAGATTCCCGCGGCTCTTGTCATTGCCACTCTTAATGTTTCAAATGCGGTGCAGGTCGTGACCACGTGCTCTACAGTTTCCGGAACACTACAGGTTGGGCATAGAGGATCTACATCAATGCCCAGACCGTGAAGTTTAGCTCGAAATCCTCCATGCCCCGTGAGGAACTGGGAAATCCAGTAGTTTTTCATATAGTTAGTTAATTTCTTTCTTTTTTTTTTAAATGAATCATCGTTATATATATTAAAAAAATCTTTCGGGCCGAAATCCCCCCTCCCAAATTAAATCCTGGTTCCGCAAGTGGTCCCAAGATACATGGCGCACCTCTTCTCTCTCAATATGTATTATTGCTGTCTTATTCTAAAAACAGTGCATGAGACAGTAGAATTATAAAAATCGTATATCACGTACTATTGCACTTACTGCAGTCTGTCCCCCCTTCTTTTTTTGAAACTTTTCATTCCGAAAATTCATGATCCCGGTAAAATGTGCCCCCCTCAAAAATTTTGATGGTGCAATTTGCTCTACTAAATCCCCTTCTGGGCACTCCTGATCATGAGAATAACAATATTTTATTTTAATAGTCTTTGGGATATCCGTGATTAGATTTCAGTATCTAACGAATAATCCTGATCTATTGATAAATTGATATTGATACATATTGTACCATTACAAGGGCAGTTATAGAGCAAAAGGATAATATCTAGCATGATAGCCAGTAGAGTTTTTAGAAAAAGTAAAGCAAAACAAACAAAAAAATGTCGAGGTTTAATTGGGAGGTTTTATGCTGTCCCGGCTATCGGATTTCCATTAAGGGTGCTATCAGATAGAACGGCATCGATATCACCGCTGGATTTGAACATTCCTCCGGACAGAGATGTACAAAATGGCGACACGGAGCTACAGAAGGACATAAATCTAGTTAATTAAGCCATGTGTGAGTGTCGGCCATGTCCGTCCGTCCGCTTATCTACCGGCCATCCACTTCTCCCGACAACTTGGTCATTAACGCCCTCTTCCTTTCTCACCTCTTCCTCTTGTACCCGATACTGTTCTAGTCTTCTTCGGTACTGTCTTGCATTGTTCCTATAAAGATGGAATAGAAAAAGTCATTCCTTGCATGATTTTAACTAGCTCGGATTGCAATGATAGATTTCAAGGAGAAGCATTATAGATGATTAAAATAACAGAGGATTGAATCAATGCTGAAACCAATTTACACCAGAGCATAGTATAATCACGAATCACATTGAGAAGTGTTGTGGCCTCAACAGAGAATAAATCGATAGGAAACAGTTTAACAGACAATGTCAATCAGCTGTGCATCGTCCCTGACGAGCCGGCATCAGATTGAATCAGATACAAGTTCTCGGTATTGATGCTTTTTATAACGTCACAACTGATATGGCTGGACCAGTTCGATCCAAAACTTAATCAGTTGGTGTTATTATTTTTTTAATATCTATTTAATGGGTTATTTAAACGAAACCGTTTAAAGTTTCGTATATTATTGTGTCTCATTCATTTAACAAACAGTAGATATTTACCTAATTGTTCACAAATTATCAACGATCAATTCTATAAAGTCACTCCCGTTAAATCTGTAAAATGAAAATTTTAAGAATAGTGAGATTTTATTAAATTCTGTCTATTTCTTTTACTTAGGCATGCGTTTTTCCTACACAAGAATAAACTTTAAAATAGACTTTTTCTAAATATTTTGTTACCAAAAGACAAATAACGTATCTTGGAACATCGGTAATTATATAGCCAATTGAAATGATGAGGAAGCTATACTGATTCAACTTTTAGCAGATTTTTTTTTAAAATTAATTAAAAATGGAAGGATTTGAAGTGAAAACTTCTTTAGGCACGTTTTGCACTTTTTTGTGGAGTGAATGAAATTAAGCGGTCAGATTTCATTTGTGTAACGCTCGGGAAAAATCGGCTAATTGAAATGTTTTTGCATTTTTTAAAATATCTTAAAAACTAAAAATCGGACCTGTATACTTCACCCATTTTTGCTATTATCAATGTTTTTTTATCAAAATTGTATCTTAACGCAACGCCGTGTTAGAGAGGTGAAAAGGAAAAAATAGTGTCCAAAACCAAATGATAACGAGTTTTATTGAAGATATGGATTAAAATATCACAGAAACTAAAAATCGGACTAGCATACTGTAAGCGAAGGAAATGTTAAGCATTTCATTCTCTTTATAATGAGCTATTGCTTACAATTTCTGTTTCATATTATTAATTTCGCCTTGTTGATATTTTCATTCCTATCGCGTTACACGGTGGGCCAGACCCCCCATATCACTATAAATTACATATCATTGTGTTCCTTGTAACTATTTATTACGAAAAAGTCAATGTTCCCACAAAATGACGTCCAAAGATGACGGACTGACGACTTTGTCTTAGTTGGTTTTTTGGTCACTGATAATCAGCATTTTTCTTAATTTCGTCGTAGTTAGCGTTTTATTAAAGCTGGTTATCCAAAGAATAATAAAACATGAAAACATGGCTTTGGAAATAAAAAACACCAGTAAAGTAATTTTTCCAACAAAAAAAATTTCAGGTTGGAAATTAAGCGTCGTTTGTAATTGAATGGCCAACAATAATGGAAAACGTGCAGAAATAACACACCTGGAGAACATATTTATCTTTATAAAATATTGATTACTTTTTAAAATATTTGAACAATTTCGTAGATAATGCACTTAATCGGTTGAAAAGCGGTACTGGTGTAGATGCCTACAGGCCTGTGCCACATCAATTAGTACTCATAAATGGCATAATTACAGTGCTATAGTAACATTTTTGGTACATTATATTGATTTTATTAACGACTAATTATTAATACAATAATTCAATCGTCAAAAAAAAATTAAACATTTTTTTTTTACGTGTTGTGACCATGTTATTTATGGGTATGTTGGGATGTGTTTGTAATTTGTGATGAAACATCCAAAATAAATTTCAAGAACTATTATGAAAAAAATAACATTGGTAAATTTTTATTTTCTTATGAAAAATCTATTATAATGTACTAGAAAAATATAGTGAACCTGGTTATATTCAAAAGATTCCTTTACGAGAAAATATGCAGTGAATGATACCATATATCTGAGAACGATGGTAAGCTTTAATAACTACAGCCAGTAAAGTGGAATAGTTATTTTTGTTTTAATCATGTATATAATAAAGATAGAAAGTTATGAAAAGAAATCAAAATATAATTGCTTTCTTCGTCAGTTCATGAACAAGTATTCGGCAAGCAATTTCGGAATTATGGTGATTCGCAGTCTTAGATAGATAGATAGATAGAAAAAAAACTTTATTCTCGGACTAAGTCCCTTTGAATAACAAAATTGTACAAAAGAATAGAATACTACTGGCCTAAAACCTTGAAACAATAAATAAAAATGATTAAATAAACTAAAAAGTAAAGAAAACCTTAGGTGGACAAGCTATATACAATACAGATAAAACTACGTACAAAACATTTAAAACTATGAACAAATCACTTAAAACTATGAACCAAACTATATATAATGGTTGAATAACATAAAAATACGCTTTGAGAAATGAAAAACGAAAAAGAGATAGAATATATATATATATAAAGTTAGTTATAATTGAATGAAAAAAAATAATAG